TTGGAGTTGCATACTCAATCACATGCTTTATTGAAAAGTTCATCTGAAAATAAAAAAATTGCTGAAAACTTACTCACCCTTAGACCATCCAAGATGTAGATGAGTTTGTTTCTTCATGGGAACAGATTTGGAGAAATTTAGCATTACATCACCTGCTCACCAATGGATCCAAAACATCACAATAATCCACAAGTAATCCACAGCACTCCAGTCCATCAGTTAACGTCTCGTGAAGCCAGAAGCTGCGTGTTTGTAAGAAACAAATCCATCATTGAGACTTTTTTTGGGTCTGGTCTGAATCGGGAGAGAAATCTGCACAGATCAAGCACCGTTTACAAGCCAAAACAGCTCTAAACAAATATGTGTGTGTATTTTGATGTGAGAGACAACAGGAGATGGACTTTTTCACTGGAGGAAGCGTTATTATGGATTATGGACTCGTATTTAGAGGGAAGAAATGGTTTGAAGTTAAAAAACGTTCTTAATGATTGATTTGTTTCTTACAAAAACAAAGCATTTGGCTTCATAAGACATTAACTGATGGACTGGAGTGGTGTGGATTATTGTGATGTTTTTATCAGCTGTTTGGACTCTCATTCTGACGGCACCCATTCACTGCAGAGGATCCATTGGTGAGCAAGTGATGCAATGCTACATTTCTCCAAATCTGTTCTGATGAAGAAACAAACTCATCTACATCTTAGATGGCCTGAGGGTGAGGACACCTTTAGCCTTTTTTTTTTTTGTGAACTATTCCTTTAAGTATCAGCATCATCTCAAAGGTTTCCCTTAATAGATGTGCTACACACACAAAGTTTTGAGTCCTGATTTGTGTGTGTAGCCCATGAAACAAACATGAGCAGAAGTTTTAGCGTCTCTCCCTCCTGTTTTGACCTAGATCTGCTAACCTAGTTCACCAGCACTGAGGGATTCTCTGTGATTAACCGTATGCTGCACCTGCCTTCAGAACCACTGGACTTTAAACGCATATATCTGCTTCTCTTGAAATTTAAATTTTAAAACAGCTGATCTAGACAGTGACACTGGTATATTTATGTCCCGGTTGTCTCAGAAGCGGCATGGATTGGAATAGACCCCTGTTTCTCTCTGTCTGGCTCTGACTGCAGTTTCGGGAACACCCAGACTTTGCAGCATTTGCTCTTAAAATAGAACAGAAGTTTCCCCCGCTCAATTACAGCTCTAGTACACACACTCCACATGGGAGTCTCGCTGTTAAAACGCCTTTACATCTACATCTAGCCGCTATGTTAAGCGTTGAGTTTTCTCCCGTTCATTCTTCTATGAGAGGCTTGTCGCTGCTTCTTTACACTGTATGTGGTCAGTGTCTAAATATGGTGTATTGTCGTGGTAATACCATGTAAGTATAGAACAGAGATCATGTGCATTATCTAAACTGCATGGCTATATATCATAATCTGTCCTATAGAGATCTGTCATGTCATTTTATTATAACTCTCATATTCCAGCGCTCTGTAATGTGATTAGCCACAAGCAAGAACAATCGTACATTTCAGGTGGATTTCTCCTTCAGTCACAGGGCATGAGAGCTGTTTGATCAGCTGCTCCATCTCTTGGAGATATATGTGATTTGAAGGGGTTAAATTCTCAGTATTTGATTTACAGAGCTTGACATCTCTCATATGTTTCAGGATCAGCTGTCAGCGAGCAGATGGGAGAAGTCAGTGTATGTACGTTAAAGGGGTCCTATTATGCTCTTTTACAAAGTCTTGGTTTTGTTTTGGGGGTGTACTAGAACATGCTCTCATGCTTGGTGGTTCGAAAAACGCATTATTTTTCACATAATTTACATTATTAAAATACCTTTCTCCCCAGCCTGGCACAAACGGCTCAATTAGTTCCGGCTTTGATGAAGGTCCGCCTTCCGAAAAACAAAATGTGTTGTGATTGGTTAGCTGTCCCAGTGCGTTGTGATTGGTGAACAGCTTAGACGGTGTTTCAGTACTGCCACGCTCCTTGCTCCGTCTTTCAACAAAAACTTTTGGCGAATCCGGTGTTGTGCCGAATTCTGCACCCCTGCCAGATTATGCACCCCCTCGTTGAAGTCGCTACCTGATTGCCTAATCCCAACCCCACCCCTAATCCTAACCCCTCCCCCACACCTACTCCTAAACCTACCAATACTAGGGGGTGCATAAT